AGATTTGTTAGCACATAAAAAAGAAAGCTCTATTCACTTGAAACTGGCAGGCATTTACTGGATCAACTTATATCAAATTACTTCAATTTGTAAAATATTTACAAGGGCTCTAGGGTTAAGAAATTTTGGCAGTCTCCCAAATTCATATAAATAGTGTACAGTTCACCCTTGCACAACATAGGTTTGAATTATATGGGTCCACTCTGCAACAACTGGAAAAACTCAAAGATGAACCACATAGGCTAGAAATATTGAAAAAAATTAGGTAAAAGTCATGTCATGTATGCATAAAATATATGTAGTTATTAATCTATTCTATCATTACTACCATGACATATGCACAAATCTATTATAAAAAGTTAAAATTTATCAATGTGTATACCTTAAAGACCATACATGGCACCACTTACAGTTGGGAGAAATTTAAACAAATATAAAGATGCAGTATTGAGTCATAACTGCACCAAATTAACTGCAGTTCATACTATACTACTGTGATAATTTTGTAGCCACCTCTTCTTGCTATTACACTGAGCTCAGGTGTTCCAAGTATCTGCTTAGAATGCCATACACTGCAGTAAAAAGTGATCTCTAATAGTTCTCGAGTAGTTTGAGTATTTTTCATTGTGTTTAGTACAACACTGTAAACTTCGAATGATACCATGGGACCCATACCAAGTACCACTAGCGATGTTGGAACTGCTCTCAAGAAGCAGAGAAAATACATGACTCATGACATTTCAAGAAAAAGTTGAATTGCTTGATATGAACTGTAGGTTGAGGTCTGCAGCAGTGGTTGCCCACCACTTCAGACAGATGATTCATCTAGTAGATGGGAGTCTTGCAAACTTATGATATCGATAAATATAATACAGGACTATAAATGTATTTTCTCTTCTTTATGATTTTCTTAATAACATTTTCTTTTATGTGTCTGTATTGTAAGAATAGAACATATAATACATGTAAAATGGAAAATATGTATAAATTGACTGTGTACGTTATTGGTCAACAGGCTACTAGTTAAGTTTTTGGGGAGTCAAAAGTTACATGCAGATTTTCAACTGTGTGGAGGTCTGTACCCTTAACTTCCATGTTGTTCAAGGGTTAACTGAAGTTTATTCATCAAGAGGTTTAAAATGTTTTTTTAGTTGTAGAAATTTTCAAACAAATACAAGATGAAGAGAAAAATATAATAAACCACTATATACCCATTACCCATCATCACAAACTATCAAGATTCTAAGATTTTTTTGTTTCATCTATCACTTTCCTTTTTTGTTGTTATTGGAATATTTTAAGCAAATCCTAGATATCATTTTACTTGTAAGTACTTCAGTATAAAAAAATGGATAGCAGAGTCTGTCATGATATGCTTAAAGGTGAGCTGGAGAAATAGAGATTGGATAAGAATGAACTAAAAGGATTGGTACTAACATAAACCATGGCCAAATGTTGATAAATAGTTTGAAATCTACCTTGACGAAAGGTGGTAGGAAAATATACCACAAAATTCTGTCCTTGTCCTTGTCTTATATGGCATGATTTATCAATGATATGACCAAAAATTTAGAAGGTATGCTTAGCAGATTTGCCAACAATACATAGCTTTTAGTGAGACATCTATTACATGAGATGATCAAGTATCATCAGGCTGGAAAAATGAGCTGAAACCATAGGTTGACATTTAATTGATACACACAGGGTAAGATTCCTGACTTGGAGGTAGTTCATGTGAAGATCTGTAGATTTAACTAGACCATAGTCCTCAGTATGAGTATCTATAATGATGAGTCATGTCAAACAGTGTTAATTAATGTTTAGTTTCCAGGTGAAGGGCTATAATAACTTCACTGTATCTGCTATTCAGTTCAGAGCAGTATATTTTGAGAGGAACATTACAAACTGAAGGGCATCTCATGGAGGGTAATTAGGATGACATAAAATTTGAAAATCATGATATGTAAAGAATGATAAATGGAACTGGAGCTATTTAGCCTGGAGAATAGGAGGACTTGAGGGGTCTATATACTGGCAACCTTTGAGAACTTGAAAACAATTTTTTTAACGAAGTAAACAAATTTTAACTTGCTTTGTAAGGTTCAAGCTGGGATCAGAGAGTATAAGTTAGAATGAAACAGAACTTGAGTGGAGACAGATTGCTAACACAGATATTTGGCAATGGCCTGGAATATATGGATATGCACTTCTGTCCCATCAGTGGAGAATTGTACTGCAGAGGTTAAATTTCCATCTTTTAAACAAGATTGCCACTTGGAAGGAGTTGGACTAAGTCAGAGGTTCACAGGGAGAGCCTTGGCTATACATTAGAATTACCTGGCAGGGGGTGAAGGTGTTAAAAGTGAACAGTGCCTGGGCCCCATGCCAGAGATTCTGATGCAATTGCTCTAGGCAGGACTGCAGAAAGTACCCACGGAATTCTGGAGTGAGTGAACTCTAAGGATCCTTTCAACTTTGAGATTTTTTTTTGATCTGATAAAGAGAAACTGTGTTCACGGGGGGTGTTTTAGAAATCAGAATGGCAGAAAACCTGAAGATGACAGTGAAGTCAGGCACAAAACTGAGCTCAGGGGAGAAAAGAGAATTGCTTAGGAGAGACTAAAAGTGCCAGAGCTTACCAGGAGACAGCACAGCTTAGAGGAGAGGGTGCCTTGCATAGTTAAAAAAACAAAAGGGTAGGAGTGAGGCTGAGTGTGATGGTATGAGGAGAAGAGAATGTGGCTGAAGACGATGGGAGTGTCCATCTGATGGGGTTTGCCTGGGACTGAGACGTTTCTTGGGATGCAGCAGTTTCAGTGTTAAAACCAGGACAATCTCAGGCAAACTGGAATGGTTGGTCACCTGAGTGCCCTGCAGGGCCCTGTAAAAAGACAAAATTACGACAAATTTAGTTTAAATATCTCAATAGACTTTATTGCAATTTTAGAATTGGGCAACACGTCAAAGGGTTCCAATGAGCTGAGGAGAGGCGGCAGGCTTTCTAGATGGAGAAAGAGCTGAAGAAATTAGAAACGAAGAACGAAAAATAGATCGGTCATTTCAAAGTTATTTTCCTTGTGGCAATAGGGAGATAGAACAATATAAAGATAACTGGTTAACATCAGGTTACTCTGTTGTAAGTATTAAAACAGAGGGAACTTCATGATTGTCAACTGAACATTGAAACTAGCCTGTTGGGAAATTAGGCTGTTGCCTCTCTCCTGATTTTATGGAAGGACAGATAACCAACTCAAGGTTTAGAGAAGCAGAACCTTAGATAAATGACTCCCTTTTGATTTTTAGTCTGGTCTGTTGGGGCCTAGTGCAGGATTTGAGTCCAAAACAGTGTCCTCCTATACTTTTTAATACCCATAAATGAAGGCAACTTGGGAAACCTTTTGTTATTCTAGTCACTTTTCCTGCAGAGTAAAGATGTGCTCAGCATTCGTCTGAATTCACGGCTTTGGTGTGTGTAACTGCAAAGACTGAAATGTCGCATTCACTCCGGCTGTGTATTCCAATCATAGTACATTGCTCGCATGCCCAGCATTTTGCCAGGGTGCTGGTCTTGGGCTTACTATGCCTTCTTTGGGGTGCCTGGGCATTTCCTATGTCATCCCTTCCTCCCAACTCCAGCTGAAACCTCCTAATGTGATTTTGAAGCTTGTTTCTTTGAATAGCTTCTTAGCAATTTCCTCACTGCTATTTTAGTTCCCCTCACACCATTGTGTTAAACAATCCCAAAAGCAATTTCATTAAATGGCTGACTTCAGGGATGGTGAACTACAGCTACTTCTAAAAAGCAGTCTAGTAGTGAGAGGAAATTGCCTAATAGGGAATACACGGGAGGCATGGTGCCCCTACATACCTTCATAATCTCTTTCTTATGAAAAGAGAAGTAAGGATGGGATATGCTGAGTTGTTTATAAAAAATAACAAAGGGAAAAATCCCCCTAAAATTATGGGGAAAAGCCTCCTGGGTGTGCTTTAATTATAGAGGATAAATTGGGTAATCTTCACCCACTGTATTCCTAAAAGGCCTCACAGTTGCTCCTCTCTCTCTCTCTCTCCTTCTCTCATCTGCCTTTAATCGGGGTTAGCTCTGTGTGTTATGAATTAAAGCAGTGGTTCTCAAAGTGTAGTCCTTGGCCCTGCAGTAGAGCACCTAGCAACTTGTTAGAAATGCAGATCCCCTGGCCTCACCTCAGACTTATTGAATCAGAAACTCTGAGGATGGGGTCCAGCAGTTGTAACAAGCCTTCCAGGTGATTCTGATGCAGGTTTATGGTTAAGAATTGGATTGGAGAAACTATGTCTTTAGAAGGTTCTTTAAAGGAGAAGTTGTCCAGGGCCTGCCCTCTGATACGGGGCTGAACAGGAAAGCAGCAAGCTGAAGAAACTTCAGAAGTAACCGCCGAGGCATGGTGGGTGGTGGTTTGACATTTAGGTGGTAAGATAGGTAATGTGACAGGAGAGAAAAATGGATAGAGAACTGTGAAATCAAATAGGATAAGAATGATGTCACAGTGGTCAATTCACTTAATTCATATTGTTACAAAATTAGAAAGTCACTAATGACTATAATTTCTGATCTATACTTGTACAAAAGGGCCCTGTATGATATGAATTGGATTTTAAAGTACACTGTATTTTGTCTCATTTTGGAGATATTGCTTTTAGTAAAAACATGTCTAGAAGGTTCTGGTCAATCCTTAATTGAAGCTCTATTTTGACAGGAAAATGGAAACTTATTGAATTTTAAAAAGATGATTTGACTACTACAGTTTTATTTATTTTTTTAGAGTTCTGTGGCAAAGAATCGCAGAGGCCAAAAAAATGTGAAAAAAAAGATCATATGGCTTAATGATCTTTGTAATTATAACCCTATCAACCATAACAAAAACAAGTCGTAACTACAGTTGCCATTATTGAGTGCCTATTCCATGCAGACACTTCTGAGTGTTCAGCATGAGGGATAAAGTCATGGGTAAGCAGCAGACATGGCCCTTGCCCTCCTACTCAGTGATTCCCAACCTTGGCTGCACATTAGATGCACCAGGGAGCTGTTAAAAAATGTGAGTGCCCAGGGCCCATCTCCAGTGATTCTGATTTAATTGCTTTGAGATGGGACCCCAGAGTTGGCATTTTTACAAAGGTCTCCAGTGAACTTAATGTATACATCCAGAATTGAGGATTGTTCTGGTGAAAGACTTACACATGTAGACAATTCATTATAATAGCCTTAAGTGCTATGAAAAAAAAAGCTCAGAGTGCTGTGAAGGGCACTGGCTAGCATGGGATTCAGGGTAGGATTTTCTGAGGCATCCTTAAGGAAATGACTTGCAGCTGGGATCTGAAGGATGAATAGAAAATAGCTAAGCAGGTTAGTCCTCCTTCCCAACACGGCGCAGCTGATTAACATCACGGAGCTGAATCTGCCGCAGCTAGAAATGCTCAAAAACGCGCTGGACCAGGAAGTAGAGTTCTTGTCCACGTCCATTGCCCAGCTCAAAGTGGTACAGACCAAGTATGTGGAAGCCAAGGACTGTCTGAACGTGCTGAACAAGAGCAACGAGGGGAAAGAACTACTTGTCCCACTGACAAGTTCTATGTATGTCCCTGGGAAGCTGCATGATGTGGAGCATGTGCTCATCGATGTGGGAACTGGGTACTATGTAGAGAAGACAGCTGAGGATGCCAAGGACTTCTTCAAGAGGAAGACAGATTTTCTAACCAAGCAGATGGAGAAAATCCAACCAGTTCTCCAGGAGAAGCACGCCATGAAACAGGCTGTCATGGAAATGATGAGCCAGAAGATTCAGCAGCTCACAGCCCTGGGGGCAGCTCAGGTTACTGCTAAGGCCTGAGAGTTTTTGCAGAAATTGGGCAGAGGGACACCCTTTGGGCGTGGCTTCCTGGTGCTGGAAAGGGAAGGGTCTTGTGTTTAATGCCAATAAATGTGCCAGCTGGGCAAAAAAAAAAACAACAAAAAAACAAAAAGAAAATAGCTAAGCAAACAGGGTGGGGAGAGAATGTTCTAGGCAGAGTACATAAATCGTGATAGGGCTCTGGGCAGGGACAGCATAGTGAAGTGAGGGCTGAAAGGGGGCAAACAGTGAAGGAAAGATGGTGATTAGAGAAGCTGGAGACTCAGGAAGGGGCCAGAACATGCAGGATATATGGGCTATATAAAGGATTGTATTTTTTCTTGTAAGAGTAATGGGAAGCTATGCAGTATTCTAAATAACTAGTGGATGATGTGCTCATATAGACACTTTGAAAAGATTACTCTGGCTGTAGTTGGAAAGCAGATTGGTGATAGGTAAGAGTGGATGCAGGGGGAGCAGTTAGGAGTCTTCTGGGGGAGGGCATGATGACTGGACTAAGAAGACACTAGAGTGATGGAGAGGGGTACATGGCATCAGAATCTTTGGGAGGTTCCAAGACTTGGTACAAGGCCTCAGGGACATTTGCTGAATTAGTGAGTTGCTTGGTTGTAAAGAGTGAGGGTGGGGAAGGAATACAGGATGATGCCACTGTTCTTGGTATCAGTAACTGAATGAGTAGTGATTTGTTCACTGAGCTATGAATGTTGAGCTATGGAAAGCTGGAGGAGAAACAGTTTTGCAGAGGAAAGGAGGAAGCATGAATTCTGTTTGGGCACAATAGGTTTAAGGTGCCTGTGAGATATCCAAGCTAAAAGGTAAAAGAGGCAGCTGAAAGTTCAATAATACATATGTCTGGACCAAATATAGTGTATTTTCCACATATGAACAATAACTAAGACCACGGGGTCCAGTGAGATCACGCTAATCATTATTTTCACACAGAGCTCACTATATCTTCATGTCAACTTACCAAAATAAGTTATATCATTTTTTTTTAGACGGAGTCTCCCTCTGTCACCCAGGCTGGAGTGCAGTGGTGCAATCTCAGCTCACTGCAACCTCCGTCTCCCAGATTCAAGCGATTGTCCTCCCTCAGTAGCTGGGATTATAGGCGCCCACCACCACATCTGGCTAATTTTTTGTATTTTTAGTAGAGACGGGGTTTCACCATGTTAGGCAGGATGGTTTCGATCTCTTGACCCTGTGATCCTCCCACCTTGGCCTCCCAAAGTGCTGGGATTACAGGCGTGAGCCACTGAGCCTGGCCAATAAGTTAATGTCTTTAAAATTTTAGTCTAGGATATGAAAATTTAGAAAGGTTAAATAACTTGCCCAGGTCATGCAGCTAGTAAGAGGCAGGGTTTGAGATCCTATCTCACAGGAGATGCATTAGTACCTAGTCTTAAACTGCATTTCCTTAATCAGAATGACTGATTCTGACACAATGGAGAGTTAACCATGTTTGCTAAGGAATGACCAATAACCAGCTGAGTATATATTTCCTTCCATTATAAACATGGCATTTGAGTCTACTATTCTTGGAAATTCACTGAAAAAATATCCCATGGAGGTTATGACTAAGCTCTGAGATCCAGATTTTGGGTTTACTGCCCAAACATCTGTCCCCTTACTTCCTAGAAAACACACAAACTGAAGTTGAGGTTGCCTGGAAGCTTAGTAAAAATAGTGAGAACCATGGAATTGAGAAGTTAAAACACATTTGATACCTCAAATAAATACCTCCACTTTTTTGATGGAAAACATTGTGTACTAAAAGTCTAAATCCATTTCACCCATTCAACTGACATATGGAACACTGCTATAGGCCAGACCCTTTGCTGGGCTCCGGAGAGGCACACCTTGTTCTTAAGGTGCTCTGTCTCACGGGGAAGACTGACACAAGTCAAAGGCTATTACAGCGCTGTGAGAAGGGTGCTGTGAGAGGATTGCAGAGGAGGGTATTTCATCCATCATTAGAGGAGGGGCAAGCCTTTCTCAGAGACTTCCTGGAAGGGATGACACATAAACTAATTATTTGAGCCTCAATTTCCTCATAAGGTAGACTTAGTTAAATAAATAAGAGAGGAAAAAATACTGTTTCAGGTACAAGAAAGAAACAGGAACATATACAAGGCAGAAGAATAGGACAAAAAGACCCCGTTTAGAGACTAACACCTAAAACTACGCATGGATCGTGTAGGTAGATGGTTAGCATGGCCTTAAAATTGTTAAAGAATTTGGCTTTTAAGAGACATAGAGGCATAATTGAAGAGCTTCACACTGGTTAGGGGCACATATTGAGGTTTGTGTTTTTAGGATTATCACGTGAGCTTTTAAGTAGATGTTGGGTTGAAAGGGGAAGAGCCTAGAGGTGGGGAGGCCTCTACAGAAGTTATTGTGGGAGTCTGGGGAAGAAATACAGAGAGAAATGGGCTGAGCATGGTGGCTTATACTGGTAATCCCAGTTCTTTGGGAGGCTATGGCAGGAGGGTCCCTTGAGGCCAGGAGATTGAGACCAGCCTGGGCGATATAGTGAGACTCTGTCTCTTCAAAAAAATTAGCTAGGTGCGATGGTGAACACCCATAGTCCCTAGCTACTCAGGAGGTTGAGACAGGAGAATCACTTCAGTCCAGGAGTTCAAGGATGCAGTGAGCTATAATTGTGCCACTGCACTCCAGCCTGGGTGACAGAGAAAGACTTTATCTCAAAAAAACACAAAAACAAAATCAGATAAACAAATGGATTTGAAGGATATTTAGTGGGTGGAATGAATAAAACCTGGGGATTGGAGGGAGAAGAGGGAATATAGGGAGACTTAGAAGGAAAGCGGTGATCTTTACTGGGCTGATTATGCAAAAAGATTAGAGTAGGTAAAAACTTAAATTTTAGACATGGTAAGTTTGGCTGTAGAACATCAAGCAGGTATGTCCAGTAGGTGACTAGCATTATGAATCTTGAGCTCAAGAGAAAGGCCTGGGCTGAAAATACGGATCCGGGAATCATGGCCATAAAGACTGGGGACTTGTCATCATAGAGATTAGGAAGGTATCCTCATAGACATTAAGGCATTGTGTTGTTAGTCTGTTTGCATTCTATAAAGGACTGCCTGAGACTGGGTAATTTATAAAGAAAAGAGGTTTATTTGGCTTACGGTCCTGCAGGTACAGCCTGTAACATGGTGCCAGCAATTGCTTCTGGTGAGGGACTCAGAAAACTTACAATCATGGCAGAAGGCAATGGGCATATCACATGGTGAGAGAGGGAGCAAGAGAGAAAGGAGGAGGTGCCAGCCTCTTTTAAAGAACCAGCTCTTGTGTGAACTACAGAACAATAACTCATTCATTACCATGGAGAGGGCACGATGCCATTCATGAGGGATCCATCCTTATGACCCAAAAACTTCCTACTAGACCCACCTTCAACACTGAAGGTCACATTTTAACATGAGATTTGGAGGAGGCAAACATCCAGACTATATCAAGCATCGTCCCCATAGAGAGTAGGATGTTGTTCCTATAGAGGTTGGGGAGTTGCCCTCATAGAGATTAAGGACTTGCCATCCCCAGAGAGAGTAGGGAGTCATCACCATTCAGTTGGCGTATGTATGTAAAATGAGATGAACCAGTATCCCAAGATGGAGCACTGTAGATCATTCATGTTTAAAGGGTATGCTGTAAAAGAGGAGCTGGCAAAGTAGGGGAAGTAGGATGGTTACTAGAACAACCTGGTGTCATGGGAGCCAGGAATGGAGAGTGCTTATGTACTCTGAGTGCTGAGATGTCAAATGCCAAATTGTACATGAAATGTAGTTGCTGAGATGTGTCCTCTGGGTTTGGCACTATGAGGTTGTTGGTGATATTTGTGTGAACAGCTTTAGTGGAATGGGGGTCAGGAGCCAGATGCAGTGGATTCAGTGAGTGGGTTGTAGGGAGGTGGAGTTTAGAAAGGCACTTAGTGCCAGGAGAATTTTTAAAAGAAAGCAAATTAGAGGAAGTCAAATAATAAGAACTGGTGTGGCATGGATCAGCTCTCTGGGGATGCTGGAGGGAGAGAACTGAAGGGAAGAGAAGTGGAATAAACACAAAAAACTCTGAGAAGAGAGGATGTGGCTTCACCCCACCCAATCCTGAGAGAATGGGTGGAGGGTGGGCCTAATATTGTCTTTGTTATCCAAACATTGTCTTTGCTAGCTATTCTTTCCCTAAAGATGGGACAAGCCATTCCCAGAGGTCAGTTCTAGGTAACGAGACTTTCCCAGAAGGTGGGGTAAAATTTTCCTCTTTAACTCATGTGTTCTCCAGAGTCTTTGGGTTTTTAGGAATTTCTATAAAGATTTTCAAATATTTTACAAGTCATCTCCAAGTACCACAATATATTCTTCCTTCAGTTTAGTATCCCAAGCTTTTGCTAAGGTGGAGATACATTTCCCTCCACTCAGAACATTATTATAACTCTGAAGGAGAAGAGGCATGTACAGTAACTGTTGTCTGCATTGGCCTTCCTTCCGTGGCTACACCACTCCTGCTTCTGTGAATCTGAGCAAATGAGAACACAGACCACCTGCGTGTGTGCAAGAAGCATGTAGATTTTGCTGGATATGTGATTTCGGTGGTCTTCACATTGCTTCTGTGTTCTATAGGTAGCCCAGGTTTTATACAGACAGACAATCTGTTTCACTTTATGGAATGAAAAGAGTGAGAATCATGTGAAACCAAACATACAAAAGATGGGTGTCTAAGGCATAATACCCATTAACAATGATCAGCTCATTTTTTAAACTTTTAAGTTTAGGGGTACATGTACAGGTCTGTTATATAGGTAAACTTGTATCACGGGAGTTTATTGTATAGATTATCTCATCACCCAGGTACTAAGCCTAGTTCCCATTAGTTATTTTTTCTGATCGTCTCCCTCCTCCCACCTTCCACCCTCCAGTAGGCCCTAGTGTGTGTTATGCCATTTTATATGTCCATGTACTCTTACCATTTGGCTCTCACTTACAAGTGAGAATATGTGGTATTTTTGGTTTTCTGTTCCTGCATTAATTTGCTGAGGATAATGGCCTCTAGCTCCATCCCTGTTCCTGCAAAGGAC